GGGGGGGGGGAGGTGTTGTTAGCAAAATCTGCCCCTACCTCAGAAATGGACTCCTTATTAATGCTAAGTCAGGGAGAGGCTAGAAAGGTTGAATTAGGACCCAAATTGAAATATTAGCTATTATAATGTTAAATGAATTAGTTTTTGTCCAGATAGTCACTTCTGTTGTTGCTCATACGAGTACTCTTGCAACAGGGATACGAATGATCTATTGTTGCCACAAAATTTCAATTTTTTGTTAAGTTAAAAATTGCTATAACTTCAGTCAGCCTATTATGTGAATTGTGCACCGTACGTTTTTCCTCATTTGCTCAGGCTGCCCTTGGTTGTGTGGTTGTGGATTTTGCACGCAAGGAGGATCCAGTGGACGTCGACAAATCAGAACTGGCATCACAAGTTCTGACAATAGCTGTGCTATACATCTTGTTAACTGGCACTTTCGGAGCAGTGGGGATATGTGTGGCTGGTCCTCGCCTCCTCCAGAGAACTGTGCCACAGCAGGGCCGTTGTTCACCATGAATATTTCATTACCCAGGTGATAATTTGAGTGGTAGATGTATATGATTGAATTGCTCCTCTCCAACCATGAGTTTCTGTGTTTAGTTTTACAGTTGGTATGTCGACAGTGGCCGTTATGCTGTGTAGTTTTCTGGCTTAGTGGTTTATACTTGCCGACCAGACTACACAGCGCAACAACCCAGAAGACGGAAGTCTTCATACTCACCGCTGTGAAAACCTCAAATCTTACAGCACAAAATGTTACTTGTACTGGTTATTTGAATGAAGTTCCGCCATCATATCTGCCATTTAGGCGAAGAAATGTACTTGTAATAAAATTATAACAATCCAGTTCTAATGAGTGGTAATTGAAAAATGAACTGTTTTCTTTTAAAAAATATATGTTTGCTTAAATATGCTCTGGAATACTGTTTTATCCCTGAAAGCTCGAATTAGATAAAAATTTTAAAGAGCTGGCATGGGCCTTTTTGCAGTATAATGTTTGAATTTGGCCCTGGTGAAAATGATGATAAATACATTTCAGGCCATTCTATAATCATACATATCTTTTGCTTATTGCAATATTCTTTGCTTAGGGAAATAGGCACCAAACTACCTACCTACATGATATTACTTACATATTTTCATCCAAGTACAATTGGAGGATTACTTGACAGCGAATATAATGGCTCTGTGTTCGTTATTGTTGCATCAGGCTGATGCTGGAGGCAGCAAGGACCTCTGAAATGTCTGTAAACATCTACAAGACTACACGGTTCAACATCTCAGAAGACGGCCATCTTCAGACTCACTACCGTGAAAACCTCAAATCCTGAAAGTGAGTAGGAAGTTACCACGGCGTTGTTTTATGATGTGGCATGCGCTTAAATGTAGGCTAATTTTTCTTACATATTTCATTATGAATATTTTACAGGGTCCAGCAGTAATACCTGATGGTTTTCAGAATGATAACTCTTCTGGTGTTAATTGAATTTTCAAGCACAGGAAGTTTCTTAAAAAACGTAACATAGAAATTGTTAATTTTTAAAATAACATTAGTCAGATGAGCTTTGTCAGGCCGGACACTGTCGTAAACGTGTGGTGAAGATCCTCTTTATGCACTGCAACATCTCAGGTAGAATCTTTTTAATTTACTCTTGGATTCATGTTTAGAGATCGTCAAGGGTTGCTGGCTGTTTGACGTACGCGTCTCTGAGTTTTTGATTTGGACTATGCGAATGGTGTTTTATTATCTACTGCAGGCAATGCACTGAACAGCACGGATAGGGAATTTAAACTTCTATGCTGACTTTTCCAATGACGTTAATATCTTGGGGACTATGTCACCAAATTCAACTGAATAGAGAGATCATTTACAATACAATGAAGTAAAACAGTTGTTCAGTGTTCATGTTGGTAGGACTGTAACCTTAGCTAATGTTTGATGTTTTAATGTTGGTAAGACTGTAACCTTATCTTCTGTTCGGTGTATAATGTTATAATGTATTGGGACATATGGCCTTGTAATCCTGGGGTCTCGGGTTCGAATTTATAACTTGTGTTGGGCAAGGCCGTGGTCTAGGCAACACGGAGTTTTCCTCCGTGCCCTCCCAACAATTACTCCATTCACACAGAAGAAGGCAATGGCAAACACCTTCTGGATCATCTGCCAAGAACGTATATGAGAAAAGGATGGAAGGATCCTGTTCATATGGACCTGTCGTCAGACAGAACACTAAATAATAATAAGATGAGGTGGTCTAGCGGTTAGAACGCTGGCCTTGTAATCCTGGGGTCTCGGGTTCGATTCCCGGCGGTGCCTGAATTTATAACTTGTGTTGGGCAAGATCGTGGTCTAGGCAACACGGGGTTTTCCTCCGTGGCGTCCCAACAATTACTCCATTCACACACAGACGAAGGCAATGGCAAACCACTTCTGGATCATCTGCCAAGAACGTATATGAACAGGTCCCAGTCCGAGAAAAGGATGGAAGGATCCTGTTCATATGGACCTGTCGTCAGACAGAACACTAAATAAATAATAAATAACTGCTTACAGTTATGCCAACAATCATTTGCAATATTTATGGTTTCAGCAGTCAAATCACAGTTTTGTTCTCTTCTTAGTATCGATTGGTGAATATAGTAACTCAAATCTAAACGTTAGTGCCGTCATGCGCTGGAATTATAGAGAAGAGTGTGTTTTTTGAGTTTTTGGCCAGCAATGTTATTTTGTGTTATGTCGCTTAATCTGTTGGTTTGCCCCATTCAGTGTTATGGATTATTTTCAACAATATCAATAACTCGGATTGTACGGCATCTTGTGACGAGCTGATCTGTCAATGATGCACTGTAAATGGCATGCAAGGAAGACCATTTTTCATCACTTAAGATAATATCCAATATCCAACTGAGTAACGCCAGGAGCAATCTGAATGAGTATAGCTTTTGTCTGGACTGAGATTTCTTCAGTGTAGTATTCAGACACATTTAGTATGAATGGGATTTTGGTATCGAACTTCCATACAGTGTTAAGATGCAGATATAAGACGACGGGCTATGAACTGGTGTGGGGGGAGGAGATATCTGATGCTAGTACCTGCGCTCATAAATGCATTAACTGCACCATAAAGGTGCTCACTAAGCAGGTTTACGTTATCAGTTTGCCACTATATTTTGTCAGTATCTCTCAGCTTTTACTCTGGAAATTTTACTTACAGAATTGGTTTATCTGTTCACAGAGTTTCTTGTTTCAGGTTACATTAATTAAGTTCAAGTTTTGTGAAATAATGTACAATTTGAAATATATTTCGTTTATTTACTTATAAATAATGAGAACTTTTCACTGTCAAGACTTACATTCAGATATTTTGTCCACGCTGTGAATTTGTTGAAGCAAGTGTGAGTATTCTCATTTATAAAGCTCTGAATGTAGTATGTGGTGCTCTCTTCCATCTCTAGTGCCGTTAGTTGTCCAGGTATTTACGACCGTCTCACACACTCATATGAGCCGAGATAGCTCAGTCAGTATAGTGACTAGCTACGGGCTGGACGACCGGGGTTCGATCCCCGACGGGGGCAGAGGATTTTCGTCCAGACCGGCCCTGGGCCCACCCAGCCTCCTCTACAATGGGTACCGGGGTCAAAGCTGGCCGGGGCGTGACGCTGACCACTTGCCCAGATCTAGTTCTGAGGTCAAGAAAGAGTAGGAGCTATAACTCTACTCCCCCCAAGCGCCTAATTGGCGTATAGTGGGACAGCTCATACACTCTTAGCTTACTTTATACAAAATTCTTATGTGTTAAAATAATATAATTATAATTAGTGTGTATGTTGCCCTAACAATAAATGTGATTCTGAATTTGTCACTAGCGTCCTCTTCATGTGCTGACGGTGACCACTTCATGAAATCTCTGAAGATCATCTTGAGGATGCTGGTGACGCCAGCAGAATGGATGTTCAACACAGTGGCAGGAATGGTAAATGCAGTAGGAATGACAGCACCTCAAGTTGACAGGAAGACAGGGCATCAGTTGAGAAGACTGCAGAGGTCCAGTGACTTAACGCCGAAGAAAGTCTTCTGAATGGATGAAGACATCAGAGTGGTGAAGAAGAATCATCTTCAATGCCTATCCTGTGCGTGCTTGCAGGAATTCACAGCCAGTCCATTTATTCTCCATCGCAGTACTGTATAACTGGACTTCACAATGTGTAACTTTGGCTTACAGGAATAAGCAGTGTAGAATGTTGAAGGTTTTCCAAAGTTTTGGCAAACACTTGTGCTGCTATCATCAGGGTGGATGTCTTTCACAAAATTCTAAAGCTTCTTCTTGACTTGGCTTTGTGGACTTGATTAGAATAACTGAGGAGAAATGATCTATTCAATGTGGCCAGGTGTACTGCTAAAGCGCCCGATAATCGTGTGAAATATAACTCGTCTCAATTTAATTATTTCAAAAAATTACAAGCCATGACAATACAATTTGGCTTTCACAGTAATAACTCCATTCATATCTGTGCAGCACCTACGCTAACTTAGCTCGGCTTGACCTACATATCCGTGCACTGACTTTCCTTACACAGTGCCCTTTTATACCCATGTACCGGCTTCAGTGTCCTGTGCATAGATTTCCTAACCATTCTTCTGTGACCATCATATCTCAATATTTACAACTTATGTCACTAAATTTCATTCTAGTCGCAAGTCGTGGCATATTTTACTATTATCCTGCTACTGATGGTCACAGGTTTGAAGGGCTGAAAATACCATTGTTTTGCAGATTTGTTGTGAAGGGACTTGATAAAACTATTTTAGCAGCTGCTTATTAGGATAACAGGTACTTATTCAATGTTTACTGAAACCTTTAACTTTGTATACTGCTTATTCTCCAAAGAAGTTTTTTTTAAGCTCAGATATATTTTGAGCCTGGAGATCGATCACCACAAACTAAAACGTAGTAAACCATAGTTTGATGATGAGTGCTCAAAGTAGTAGACAAATGGAAGCCGGCTAAATTACGGTGGTTGCAAAACGCCAGGCAAATAACTGGATAATATCTGCAAAATGTAAGACGTGAAAACAGTGGAACATTTAGGAAGAAGAAAATCAGTTACCTAAAGACAAAACATGAACTTGAATCTAATTATAGAAACAGAAATATTCGAGTTTTATATAGATGCATAAAAGAATTTAGGTAAGGTTACCAACCTAACATTAATATTATTGTCAAGTTTCCTGCTGCCACCATCGGCAAGGTCTTTTTAGTCGCTCTGGTCCTAGGTCATGAGTCTAGAAGTGGGTAGGGTTGAGTCTGAAATGCAGGGGTCAGGGCTGTGATAGTGAGGAATCGGCCTTCCTCAGGGCGGAAGTGCAGCTCATTGGGTGCCGCTAGAATAACTTTCCATGGCCTCTGTCTTATGATCACTTAACTAGACATTGGTGTTCTATACCAGTGGTATTCAACCTGGGATGCGCATAACCCCGGGGGTACGTGAAGACATCTTATGTATATATATAATATTTTATGATTAACACTGAGTAATCAGTAATGTAATTTATTTAATCTAGATGTAGATTATATACTATGTATAACTTGAATTATACACCAACAACTTTGGGGGTACAAGTTGAAGAGAAATTATATCTGGGGGCATGCGAACAAAAAAGGTTGAATACCACTGTTCTACACTAATTTATTCTTCTAAGTACACACTAAATTTTTGGAAGCTATCATTCATAAATTATATGTAACAAATATCTCATCAGTGTTGCACCAGTTCTGTGTTATTTTATAAAAAATCAGCTATTCCAAATTTTTAAACAATTTTATTACCAAGACAACAAACAGTTCTAAGTTCTATCTTTATCCTCCTAGCAATTGCAATGAACAGAAGGTGAGCCAGTTCTTCATCGTGCTTTTCTCCTCAGAGCCTGTCTTAAAAGTGGTGATCGCTTGGGTATTAACAATCGGATTATCAGGTCGGCATCTGCACTTGCGAAGCAGTAGCAAAATTGTTTGCACTGCAGGTAACACAACGTGACATGCACAAATGACCAGCTCTTTCACTTTATCTGCATTATTATATTCCTGTTGTTTCAAAACAAAGTATCTTCGCTTTGTATCCCCTAGGTTCATTTAATCTGGGGGGTGGGGGAGGCAAGCAAGCAATCGGATAAATAAAGAAATAAGTACAAAAATTCATTTTCTGCTTCTATTACTTAGGAAGCTGAAAGAAAATTGTCTTACTTGTTGCTTTAACGTGTATATATATCTTGT